CTAAGATTCAGTTATCTGGATCTTACCACCATGCTAAGATCCTCTTGGTTTGGGATTGGTTTTGGAGTGAGAAAGGCAAAAGTCTGTTTCCCTCGTACTTTGGGACTTTTCATGGTATGACCTCTTTGTGGCAAAGTCGAGGTTTTAGAGTTCAGATGTTGTCTTGGGCAAGTCATTAATCTTACTGGGGCTCAGTTTCCTCACCTGCAAAATGAAATGATAGAACAGACTTTGCAAGGTTGAGATAATGCAAGAGAAGTGCCTGGCACATGGCAGCTCGGTAAGTATTGGCAAGCAGCAATCCCTTTCTAGTTTGAACTTTGTACCTGTTAGCATTTTGACACTTGGCTTGGTGACCTACTTCTTGTGTGTACAGGGCAAGGAAAAGTCTTGCTATGATTTCATTTATTTATTTATTTATGGCGGAACCGGGGATTGAACTTAGGCCCTTGTGCTTGCCAGGCAAGCACTTACTCTGCTGAGCCATCTTCCTGGTCCCATATGATTTCATTTACTTCAGTTCAGATCATTCATTGAAAGGCAGCTGAGGAACCCATTAAACAAACCAACCCAATTTAGATATACCAGAAAAAAATGGCTTCTGTATTTACAACCTCCCTTTCTTGCCATGAATATCAGTACTATATGCATTTGGTCAGTATTATATGTATTCAGCATTATATGATACACAAGGAAAAGAAACAGCTCCTTTTATAGACATGGAAACTGAGTCAAAGAGAAAGACACTTCGCGTCCAAACTCTCTTGACACATCCCTGGTGGACAACTGACTCATTTTAAAACATGGCTTCGGGGCCAGGGAGATGGCTCAGTGGAATAAGCACTTCCTTGGCAAGCGCAAGGGCCTGAGTTCAATCCCTGGTTCTGCCAAAAAAAAAAAAAAAAAAAACAAAAAACATGGCTTCTCCAGAGTAATGTTTGTTGGTTCCTCACTTCTTTTGTTCACTTCCAGGGGGAGGCAGTTGAGCTAAAATTCTAGCTCACTGTTTTGAACTTCAGCCCACACCCCTCCAGCAAAATAATCAGCATTCATTTAACTTAAGCCAAGGAAAGGGAGGTCTTTGTTCAAACCATCCCACTTTACTTTTTTTTTTTTTTTTAATTTTTATTTATTTATTTATTTGTGTGGCCAGCTCAGCCCACCAGGGGGCGGGGCTGGCTGGCATGTGGTGCTGGGGGATTGAACCGCGGTCCCTGTGCTTTGCTAAACTTGTTCTAAGTAGGTGCTTTAGACCACTGAGCCATCTCACCAGCCCCCACTTTACTTTGAGAACCCAGACAGTACAGAAACTGAGCAAGCAGGCTTTTACATTAATAGATTTTACCTAATGACACAAGAGTCTTGAATGTTTTGTGTTGTTGTTTGTCTGTTTGTTTGTTTTGGTCTCCTCCCTGGGACCAGGGGAATTCAGTATGCCTTAGGGCATGCTGGTGGGAGCTGTATGCCTTTCATAGTTACTGTGTTTAGGGTGCAGGCTCTTCTTTAGCAAGGGAGATGCTTCCTGAGTGAGCCTTGGCAGTAGTGTATACTTAGCCTTCAGACTTGACAGATCGAGTCCTTGCCAGCCAGGCTTGCAAGTGGGGAACACATCTGAAGGATGAAGCTGGCTAAAGCAGGTGTAGTACAGCGTTCATGTCTAAGCAGGCGGTATCTCTCTTTCATTTTTGTCTGTGCAGGAAGCTTATATCAGGAATGTTTCTGTAGTTGCTGTAATTCACCTCTAAAAAGTTTCCAGGCTAGTGAGGAAATTGGAAACTTTTTCATATCCCCATTTTTTGATACTGCTGTTTTTCTCCAAGCATAATCAAGTCATAATCACTCTTGGAGAACCTGGAAGAGTTTAAGAAGGCAGATCTTGTTACTTGGATGGGTGGGGAGCTGCATGCACCTTGTACTTTCAAAGAGCCAGGTTAGAATTGCCAGCTATGAAGGCAAGTTTCATGTTGGTAGAGACATCACAATCTCCTCCTTGACTGACTTAGTTTGGCTTTTAGTTTTCCTTATAAGCTTTTTTTAGGTGAGGCTGAGCAGGTTAGCGCATACGGAGTGGACTTGTCCGTGTGTGTGTCCTTCCCATCCCTCTCTTATGTTCAGTGTTGTAGCCACAAAACCAGTCCTTCTCCAGCTTTAATCTCTTCATAGCTGGCTCCCTAGGAGCCATCGTACCCTCATTTCTCACTTAGCCAAAGCTGCAGGGCAGTCATCGTTCTCTGAGAGGGGATGTGAGGCAGGGATGGGCTGTGGTAGTTAGGGTTAGAGATTATAAGTACAAAAATGGCGCAAGTGTCCTTTTTTTTCCTGGATTTCATGGGTCAATCACAAATTAGTCTTTGTCCTATAGAGGTAGAATGAGATATCTATCTATTGGTGGCATGTGATATAGTCATTTACAGTGATGTGGATGATTTTAGAATAATTGGGAAATTAAATGTATATATACATATATATTGCAGTATTTTAAGGAATCAGCATGTAAGAATATGAATATAATGTGATCATAACTATGTATAAACATAAAAGGTACCATTTCCTCAAACCCAAAACAAGTGGATAAAAAAGAATGAAAGTTGGGAAGTTGGGCCAGGAAAATAGCTCGGTGGCATTAGCGACTGTCTGGCAAGTGTAAGGTCCTGAGTCAATCCTTGGTACGAGAGAGAGAGAGAGAGAGAGAGAGAGAGAGAGAGAGAGAGAGAGAGAGAGAATAAAAAGCGAGTGAATATATGAAGTTATAAATGATTTAGCTTTTGATAGCAGTATGATGGGTGTCCCCTCCTCCTTTAGCTTTTTCTTGTTTTTCTTAAATATTCTATAATAAGCTTTTCTTAGTATGTGAAGGAAAAGCAAGTTAAACTTGATAAAATAGCAAACAAACTTTTTCTGTTACTGGATCTTGTGTTCTGAATTTTAACTAAGAAGTACAGTCGTCCTAACAGACAACTTAGGAGCTCTTCCTTATTGATTACCCCCTGGAAGTCCAAAGTTAGGCAAGACTAGATTTTGGACTCAGTTGTGCCTGCAAGCAGAAAGTGGGCAAGGCAGCTTCTCAGAGCCCCTTTACAACCCCAAACAGTGATTATCTGGCTTCACACAGCCTCTGCCAACTAGGAACACTGAGCTTGGTGACTTTCTGCCTTGGGGTGGGGAGTAGCAACAAAAGTCTGGCTAGGATGGAGGCTGGGGACGGAATCTGGAGTCAGCGCCTGAGTTGGTAAGGAGCCAGATAGCTAGCTTTCTGTCTGGTAGGATATTGACCTCCAGCTTCCAGGCATCGTACAGGGTCCAGTTTCTTGGAAAGTTGGTGCCCACTAATGTGGACCTGTCACAACTCTACTCAGAGAACACAGTGGTCACAATGACTTTTGTGAAGTTCTCTCCTGGTGCAGGGTTATGGAGGCTCTGGCTTAAGGCATGAGAAGGATCACCTATCTTTTGGGCAGCCGTGGTCTTTGAAGGGTGCATCATCTCTCTGCAGTGGAAACTAGGTCTTCCCTGTCGTACAGCTGTAAAAGTGAGCCTAGTGAAGGACATCTGAGTGGTTTTTCTCAGCTCATCTGGCTTGGATCCTCCAGCTCCATCTCTTCAGTGTTCTGGCCCAGTCCTCCAAAGCAGATTTTCTCTTTCCTTCAGGCTGAGAGCCTCAATTTTTGGGATTTTGTTTTATATTTAACCTCATGTATCCTGTTGTGCATCTGAGCAGTGAAGAAAACTCAGCTACAGAATTGTGAGATTTCTGCTCCGGGGAAAGTTGATTGATCCTGGACTTGGCATTGAGCTTCTCAGGGATAGATACTGAATTTGTGTGGATGCATTTGTTTCTGCTGCTTTAAAAGACTCTGGCAGATGCAGGGGCTCTTTGGATGCAGGTGAGGATGGAGCTCTTTAGTCTCTCTGTCTGACTGTCTGTGTCTCTGT